CCCGTATAGTTTGGGTAGTGTAGGGACTGTGTACAATACACACGTATAGTTTGGGTAGGGACTGTGTACAATACACACGTATAGTTTGGGTAGGGACTGTGTACAATACACACGTATAGTTTGGGTAGGGACTGTGTACAATACACACGTATAGTTTGGGTAGGGACTGTACAATACACCCGTATAGTTTGGGTAGTGTAGGGACTGTGTACAATACACACGTATAGTTTGGGTAGGGACTGTGTACAATACACCCGTATAGTTTGGGTAGTGTAGGGACTGTGTACAATACACACGTATAGTTTGGGTAGGGACTGTACAATACACCCGTATAGTTTGGGTAGTGTAGGGACTGTGTACAATACACACGTATAGTTTGGGTAGGGTCTGTGTACAATACACACGTATAGTTTGGGTAGGGACTGTGTACAATACACACGTATAGTTTGGGTAGGGACTGTGTACAATACACACGTATAGTTTGGGTAGGGTCTGAGTACAATACACACGTATAGTTTGGGTAGGGACTGTGTACAATACACACGTATAGTTTGGGTAGGGACTGTGTACAATACACACGTATAGTTTGGGTAGGGACTGTGTACAATACACACGTATAGTTTGGGTAGTCTAGGGACTGTGTACAATACACCCGTATAGTTTGTGTAGTGATCACATACCTGGCCAGGGACTGTGTACGACTTCCTACACCCGACCGCAGACGATTGTTTACCCCTGGTGGGAACCTAAATTCCCGATTAGTTCCAGCTAATGAAGCGTGTAGTTGGGGCGTCCATTATTGTTTAATTAACCCCGTCAATTAGTAAAGCCATTGATTAATTTTTATTTTCAAGGCGGGACGTTACCGCTGTGCCCCACAAAAATACTGGGGTTACTTGAAGTCTGGCTTAAAGGGTTAGGGTTCAAGTAGGGGCTTACTGCATCTCTTGAATGTTTCTAAAGGTTTTAAAGGGTTAGGGTTCGAGTAGGGGCTTACTGCATCTCTTGAATGTTTCTAAAGGTTTTAAAGGGTTAGGGTTCGAGTAGGGGCTTACTGCATCTCTTGAATGTTTCTAAAGGTTTGAAAGGGTTAGGGTTCAAGTAGGGGCTTACTGCATCTCTTGAATGTTTCTAAAGGTTTTAAAGGGTTAGGGTTCAAGTAGGGGCTTACTGCATCTCTTGAATGTTTCTAAAGGTTTTAAAGGGTTAGGGTTCAAGTAGGGGCTTACTGCATCTCTTGAATGTTTCTAAAGGTTTTAAAGGGTTAGGGTTCAAGTAGGGGCTTACTGCATCTCTTGAATGTTTCTAAAGGTTTTAAAGGGTTAGGGTTCAAGTAGGGGCTTGCTGCATCTCTTGAATGTTTCTAAAGGTTTTAAAGGGTTAGGGTTCAAGTAGGGGCTTACTGCATCTCTTGAATGTTTCTAAAGGTTTTAAAGGGTTAGGGTTCAAGTAGGGGCTTACTACATCTCTTGAATGTTTCTAAAGGTTTTAAAGGGTTAGGGTTCAAGTAGGGGCTCACTGCATCTCTTGAATGTTTCTAAAGGTTTTAAAGGGTTAGGGTTCGAGTAGGGGCTTACTACATCTCTTGAATGTTTCTAAAGGTTTTAAAGGGTTAGGGTTCAAGTAGGGGCTTACTGCATCTCTTGAATGTTTCTAAAGGTTTTAAAGGGTTAGGGTTCAAGTAGGGGCTTACTGCATCTCTTGAATGTTTCTAAAGGTTTTAAAGGGTTAGGGTTCGAGTAGGGGCTCACTGCATCTCTTGAATGTTTCTAAAGGTTTTAAAGGGTTAGGGTTCGAGTAGGGGCTTACTGCATCTCTTGAATGTTTCTAAAGGTTTTAAAGGGTTAGGATTCGAGTAGGGGCTTACTGCATCTCTTGAATGTTTCTAAAATATGTGGGGTAGGTTTAAAAGGGCAACGATAGCTAAATGTAAAATATGTGGGGTAGGTTTAAAAGGGCAACCATAGCTAAATGTAAAATATGTGGGGTAGGTTTAAAAGGGCAACTATAACTGTATGTGGGGTAGGTTTAAAAGGGCAACTATAGCTAAATGTTTGTAAAATATGTGGTGTAGGTTTAAAAGGGCAACTATAACTGTATGTGGGGTAGGTTTAAAAGGGCAACGATAGCTAAATGTAAAATATGTGGGGTAGGTTTAAAAGGGCAACGATAGATCGCGTCAGCTCCATCCTGTTGTCTCTAACGACTGGAATTGTGCGGGCACGCCTATCACGGCCTATCACGTAATCGATACCACCAGCACACGTGACTAACCATTATGAGCATGTTAAGTGATCCATTACCTGGGGTAAGATCACTTAGCCACTTATATATGAACAATTGTCTTCGTGCAGTACTACAAGATTATGTCAATGTTTTGACTAGACAATTATTCACTTTTAAGAATCCCAAGCTCTGCATGTCTACACTCCAGAAAAAAAACAACAATTCACGAGTTTTTTATGTCTATCCTCTGATTGACTTAATGGTGTGTGGGGGGGGGGGGGGTAATTTGTGGTTGAAAGAAACTTGGTGTACAAGTTGCCGTGACGTGGTGTAAGAGAGGCTCTACTTTGATGTAGACCTAGCTAGTGGCTTGGTTCTACTTGACAACTTGTTCTATGGGGAGATAGCCTATACAAGCTTACACAGTGTGTACACACACTCAAAATGCTGCATGAATTTTCAGTTTAGTGCGACACTAACACTATACACCATAATTAACTAGCCCTGCTGGCTACCATGTAGCAACTAGCCCTGCTGGCTACATTGTAGCAACTAGCTCTTCTGTCTACCATGTAACAACTAGCCCTGCTGTCTACCATGTAGCAACTAGCCCTTCTGTCTACCATGTAGCAACTAGCCCTGCTGTCTACCATGTAGCAACTAGCCTCTAGCCATGTAGCAACTAGCCTCTAGCCATGTAGCAACTAGCCCTGCTGTCTACCATGTAGCAACTAGCCTCTGTCTACCATGTAGCAACTAGCCTCTGTCTACCATGTAGCAACTAGCCCTGCTGGCTACCATGTAGCAACTAGCCCTGCTGTCTACCATGTAACAACTAGCCCTGCTGTCTACCATGTAGCAACTAGCCCTGCTGTCTACCATGTAGCAACTAGCCCTGCTGTCTACCATGTAACAACTAGCCCTGCTGTCTACCATGTAGCAACTAGCCCTGCTGTCTACCATGTAGCAACTAGCCCTGCTGTCTACCATGTAGCAACTAGCCCTGCTGTCTACCATGTAGCAACTAGCCTCTGTCTACCATGTAGCAACTAGCCCTGCTGTCTACCATGTAGCAACTAGCCTCTGTCTACCATGTAGCAACTAGCCTCTGTCTACCATGTAGCAACTAACCTCTGTCTACCATGTAGCAACTAGCCCTGCTGTCTACCATGTAGCAACTAGCCCTGCTGTCTACCAATTAGCAACTAGCCTCTGACCATGTAACAAACTAGCCCTGCTGTCTACCATGTAGCAACTAACCTCTGTCTACCATGTAGCAACTAGCCCTGCTGTCTACCATGTAGCAACTAGCCCTGCTGTCTACCATGTAGCAACTAACCTCTGTCTACCATGTAGCAACTAGCCTCTGACCATGTAGCAACTAACCTCTGTCTACCATGTAGCAACTAGCCCTGCTGTCTACCATGTAGCAACTAGCCTCTGTCTACCATGTAGCAACTAACCTCTGTCTACCATGTAGCAACTAGCCCTGCTGTCTACCATGTAGCAACTAGCCCTGCTGTCTACCATGTAGCAACTAGCCCTGCTGTCTACCATGTAGCAACTAGCCTCTGCTGTCTACCATGTAGCAACTAGCCCTTCTGTCTACCATGTAGCAACTAGCCCTGCTGTCTACCATGTAGCAACTAGCTTGTCTACCATGTAGCAACTAGCCCTGCTGTCTACCATGTAGCAACTAGCTTGTCTACCATGTAGCAACTAGCCCTGCTGTCTACCATGTAGCAACTAGCCCTGCTGTCTACCATGTAGCAACTAGCCCTGCTGTCTACCATGTAGCAACTAGCCTCTGTCTATCATGTAGCAACTAGCCCTGATGTTAAACATTTCCTTCTGATGGTGTTTAACATATCCTTCTGTCACACCTTCCAGTCTTGCATACAGTCCTGTTATGACATGCATGATCAGTTTTTTATAATAACATACATTGTCACTTAGATAGCCCTGAGTGTTGGGAACAGAGAATGAAATAACAGCATTAGTTTTAAAACTGGGCTACTGAATGTGCAAACTGCTTCAGCATTTTGGGCAGGGGTGGGGGCACCTAGGTGTTATTGCTGACTAAATAATGTGGGCTGTTTGTGTAGTAAAATTCTTTATGTTTGTGTAGTAAAATTCTTTGTGTTTGTGTGTAAAAATATTTTTGTTTGTGTAGTAACAATTTTTGTGTTTGTGTAGTAAAATTCTCTATAGTGTAAACTCACCCTTTACCCTGCTTATCACTAATACCCATAGAGCAATTTATGCTCGAACTTGACTGTTCTAACTTACATAGGGAACTGTGTTGTAACGATGACTTTTATTTTGCAAGCTTTAATGTGAAGAGATAAAAACATTTTGTAAGTGTTCAATGTATCAAAATGATTCACCTAAGTTTGTGATGTGACACCGTGTATGCTTGTGGTGTGACATTTAGTGTGTTTGTAATGTGACGCCCTGTATGTTTGTGATGTGACGCCCTGTATGTTTGTAATGTGACACCCTGTATGTTTGTAATGTGACACCCTGTATGTTTGTGGTGTGACATTTAGTGTGTTTGTAATGTGACGCCCTGTATGTTTGTGATGTGACGCCCTGTATGTTTGTGATGTGACGCCCTGTATGTTTGTAATGTGACACCCTGTATGTTTGTGATATGACATCCAGTGTGTTTGTGATGTGATGCCCTGTACTGTATGTTTGTGATGTGACATCCATTGTGTTTGTGATGTGACAATTAATGTGTTATAACAAACACTGTGTCTATCTCTCCCCAGGCAGTGGCTACTTTGTTGTTACCCCAGACACCAACAGGTTACAGAACAGCAACTCATCTTATCTACCAACCAATGCATCATGGCTGCCATATCATCCCATGTATGTTCCAGTCTTTCAAGGCCAGATAGGTCAACAACCTCCAATGCTGCCCTCCAGGGCCCACATGCGCTCAATATCTTGCCAGGTAAACTTTTCACCTGTCTGATGAATGTGGGAGGGTGAGGTCAGCCTTCTGTCTTTACTGTCCGATACATCCTTAAAATGAGATTTTTAAGTTTTGCTCACATTTTCAGGTGACCACCATAGAAGAATCCTCAGAAGAAGAGGACATCAAGGATAAAATCAGAGCTGGTTCTTCTGGTAAAAGCTCACGCACCAGCAGTTTAGCTAGAAACAACAATGCTAAAGAAGACAAAAAAATCTATAGGAATCTGAAGGTAGAAAAGGGAACATTGGATGACATAGCAGAGTTAAAGCGCTCGTCATCCATCAAGTACAAGGGAGAGAAGGGGAAAGCAGTCAAGGACATCAATCTTAAATCTAGCAACATCAACCAAGAAAAAGAAAAAGGTGGGTTTTTTTTTTTTTTTTTAAATTTTAAATTCAATTGTGGAGATAAGTTGCATGCAATATATCACTGTACATTTCAAAATGATGAACTTAACTAGTTTCATGAACTGTAAAACTTGATATTTCAGGTGAAAAGACTTCCCTATTCTCAAAGATTTTTGGTAGAAAGAAGAAAGATAAAGACAGGGACAAAGCTCTGATGCCACCCCCACCTCCTCCACCCCATTTACCCCCTCCTCCACCAGCATCTTCCACTGCCACTGTTCACTCTGACGCTCGCAGCGATGTTACTGAGCCCAAAGAGAAGGAATACGCAACATTCTCAGCCCAGTTCCCTCCACCAGAGTGGCTCTGGTACCAGCAGCAACTTGAGAAACAGAAGCGCACAGAGACCTGGGTCACTGACGTTACCCAACAGGTCACCAAAGTCACTGTGATGCCACCGCCGCCTAAGGTCACCGCTCGACCACCAACCGGTGCACGCTTCCATTCCTCAAATGACCACCACTACCACAATCCTAAAAAAGTCTTCTCCGCACTCAGCCAGCAGGAAAATGTGGACTATGTGGCCATGAATGGCATCAAAACCAAGAGAACTGTAGAGCCTCCTCTTCACTCTGTGGAGTTTTTGAAACCACGTCCAATGAAATCAGACCATCTCTATGACAGCTACAGAAACCCTACCAAGCATCGGCATCACTCTCTGAGGAAACATGTCGAGGATAAAAGGTCCCATAGGCAATCAGAGTACGACGTCATTGACCAGGCAGATGTGACTCCCCTTCATGAATCCAACGTCTACCACTCGGTGTCTGCTCTCTCACCTGTAGCTCACCTCAGTGATGAGAGCACCTACGCTAAATTAGTTGAACAGCCTAAGCTTGGCCCTCTACACTCAACGCCTCGTTATGAAGGCCAAAATGACAGGACAGCTTATAGGGTTGAGGGTCATGAAGCTAGGGATAGAATTTATGGTCCACCGGATGTTTCTCAGAAACGAAAGTCTCACAGATCAAGGCGACGCCAACAAAGGATTTATAGTTACTATGGTCAAGGGGATGATATTAGTTATGAGTACAAGGGACGCCTTCCAAATAAAAATTCATCGAATCTTCAGTCAAGGGATAGTGGTGTTAACTGTGTAGGTCTGGGTGTGGCTGAGGACAAGAGGCATATCATGCCAGTCTATGAGAACACTCCAGTCTCCAATAAGCATCACAACGGCCCTGTGGCCAACAGAAACCCTTACAACCCGTCCAGCAATCGTGTACATTTTGAAGAGAATGACACCACAAATGATCTCAATCCTCGGTATATGACCGACCCCGCCTTGTGTTCGGTTGTTTATCAAAGTGACGTGACAAACATGGCTTACAATTCCGTGGTGTATGGTAACAGTGTATCTGAGCAAGTGGGAGGCCCCTCTGTTATGTATCACACCATCACCAATTCTAACTTGGAGGTATCAGAAATGCCTCCACATCACAGATACATTCAAAATGGCTTACATGATGATAGTAGCATGGCAGGCCCTCCCCCCAAGGTCATCACATTTAGAGCTGAAATTAACCCTAATGCACCAACAGAAGACCAGTTGGTCAACACAGAATCTATAGTGGATGTTGGTTCTCCGCCTAGAAGGGAAATATCAGGTTGTTCTGCTGGTGTCATAGAGTTGGCAGCAGTTGATCGCTCAGAGGATAATCTGGGTGATGAAAATGGTGATGGAGAAAATGATGAGGATGATTATAGTGATGAGAACTGTACTGAGAGTGAACATGAAAGTGATGAGGATGATAAAGTATTCAACAAACGAGAAGACTTTGTACAGAACCGAGTGATTCAGGAGCTTCAAGCTGAAGCAAAGGCCAGTGACGTTGCACAAAGACCTGATGCAGCAGTAGGGCTAGACAACGTTGTGCTGGACAGTGGCTTCAGTTCTCCCAGAAATCCTGAGGCTGACAAGAAAACTCCTGGACATTGCAACTCTGCCAGTGATGGTCAGAATTATACAAACAACAGCGACAGTGCACCTCAAGAGAGCAACAGCAACAATACCCATCAGAGTAACTCACTAGACACAAATGGTAGCACGGGGCAGCATACCAACAGTGACATCAACATGGCTACCAGCAGTGATCACAACAGTGGTTCTGTGGCTGAAAGTGGAGACAGCAACCCAAAACCAGTGCCTTCTGCAATGGACAACTTTGATTCAAATATGTGTAAACCAGTATCCCGAGTCAAACAAAGCCATTCATGTAATTCTATCAAATCACAGTCGCAACTACCTCATCATTCTCAACAGCACCTGTACAACCATCATCAAACACATCAACACCAAGTTTTCATTCACCCTTACCAGCCAGCTGCTAAAATAGTAACTCATCCAGATGTATATAATAACAACACATCCAATGCCTTGTATATAGATCAAAGCCGTCCATCACGTGTTCCCCTACATCCTAATGTTGTGCTCAATAATCAAAAACCCAAAACAAAACGTGTAGAGCGGCCTCGCTCAGTTGACCTTTGGAAATCAAAAACTCCTAATGATCTTCATAGATTTGAAGAGGAACAACTTTCTAAGAAATATGGTGTTAATGGAGAGTTTGAAGTTATGGGGGTGTTATAGCTGTATTTAGATGATTGATTCATTGGATTATGTAGTTGTGTAGATTTCATGGATACTTGTGATGCTGGTGCTATCATCACATTTTAAAATATATTTTAGACAACTTTACAATTTCTATTGAAAGCAGCTCATCTTACGTGTGATAAACTTGTATGTGTATGTCATGTTTTTGTCAATGGTACATTTTATTTACTAATATTTGAAACACCAATATCTAACCCCAAATGTGCAGAGACATTTTAATTATTTGGGATTTATTTAGACTGAACACACACAAATTCTTTGCTGTACAATCTTAAGTATTTATATTATATGACTTTTAACTTCTTATATAATTGTTTGAGCAAAAACAAGGTAAAACTGAGCTTTTTAAAATGTATGTAATTACGAATGCATTATAATTTGATATAATTTTTTGTAAATTTTGTTTGGTTATTTAAAAAAAAAAATTCCTTCAAGTCTCCATACAATTTGAATTCTTTATGAACTTATTAAACATCCCTTATTTTAAAATTGAAAAGTTAACTTAGAATAAAAGTGAAAGATCACTAGAAGGTACCTCCTGAATCATTAAGATTAACCATTGCTTTCAATTGTTATGTGCATTGGGTGTTATATATACTTACTTCTTATTCTATAAATATTGTTGAATTTGTTTATTGTAAATCATGCCAGTTCTTGAAAAAGATGATCAATTGTAGTTTCTTTTGGTTTTAAATAATTAGCAACAAATAAAATACTTTTTAAAAATATTTTTTACACAGCAGGTAAAAAAGTGTTGATGAATGTATCTTGCTTGATTGTATGCATTTTCACAACTGCATGTTTAATGAATTATTGGTTTCCAGGAAGCTTTCAGTATTTTTATTTGAATATGAACAAGCAAAAATAAAACTTTTTATTAAACTTCCTTTCAAATCTTTTTTTTTTAAATTTATTCTTCAGCCTTATTCTTTCTATACAAAGCTTAAATTACATCTGTTTATTATCTAATGATACCCCATTCAAAACATTTTAGCAGATGTTGTATACAAACATTGCAGTCATTTTAAAATTCTGATGTGTTTTAAACTATTTCATCTCAATATCCCTTGAAGTAGCAAAATATCAATCAAGTTGTAAATAAAATGTTTGAAATTTTATTTTTAACATGTTTATAATTATTACCAAAAAGATTGGAAGCTTGATCAAAGAATGTGAATTTGCCCAAAAATTATAGGGGAAAAAAGCAAAAGTAATTTAAGCCTCTGTCAAAACTTTTAAAGAACAAAACTTGTATTCAATCATCATTAGAACTTCCAGTATGTATTTGTTTTGATGTTTGCTAGTTACCAACCATTTGCAAGTGTATGAAATAGATGTTGACAAAACAATTTTAATTTTTGGCCATTATCAAAAGGATATGGTTTTGAGAGACAATAGCTGACATTAAACCTGAAATAAATTAGGACTAAGCTTGGTTATAATTTAAATTCTGTATCATAAATAATTTACTAAATAATTTACTAATATTTCAACTGTAATTAGACCATTGACATAATAAAGATCAAGGAAAGCAACTTATAATTTGCATTAAGATTGTAAAAAAGTACTTTAAGAAATTCCAACAACTTTTATGTAAAAAGTAGACAAGATAGACAACCTTGAAATCACTAACTGCATTATCAAGTTAGAGAGTGGAATGCAGGTAAGGTGAGTTGATGAAACCCTTCATGTCCTATGATATATAAATATTTCTTAGGCCCAGGTGTCTGACATTATGCACTAATAATGAATTTCATTTCTCTCTCTCTGTGGAACTAGGGATTGTTTAAAAAGATACCTTAACTTTTTTTTACACATGGTAAATGTATTTATATTTTAATAGTATCAGCTGTTGTTATTGGTTTTTTTTAGGGATTACCTAATCTATTTCAATACAAAATTTCACACAAGAAATTTATTACTTTGATATTTTAATAACAACATTCATTTTATTTACATTTTGGATGGTGATAAAAAGAAGAAACATTTTGTTGACGATTGTAGTAATTAGAAAGAGGCAACAATTTTTTAAAAGGCAAATAAGAATGGAATCCACAGTGCAACTAATAAGTATTTCTACTTATTCTAGTTTGGGACATTTACAAGTCAACTCAAATGTTGGTAGAACATATTGACTAAAGTGTAAACATGGCTCAACCATATATAAATAAAAGAATCACATTAAAGTTTTTATACATATAAATTTTAACAGCTTTTAAAAGCACAACAAACTTTTCCACATATTGACAATTTCCATTTTAACTTTACTTATGCACATAATCATTCAGCTACAAAAGTTACCATACACATTCATGATGCCATTTAGCAAAATAAAACCTTAGCACCATCAAGAAAAATCAGTCCATTTTCAAAAAAACTAAACAAATTAAAAATTGGATTAAATATTGGCTAAATTTGTTTCACATCAAAATTAAAATCATGATGTTATTCCCAGAAAAATAAAAGAAACAATATGGATTTTAGTGTTCATCCTACAATGAAGGCATCAATATTTTTTGGAGATTAAAATATGGTTTGACATACTGTTGTTTAGTAATCTAACAATAAAATTTCCATAAAAATTGAGTGGTTATGGGAAGAATCAAAGAAGGAACATTCCTGGCATTAAGTAAGAATTTAATTATTACCTTTCTACCAATTTTAAAAATTTCTCTTCCTTCAATAGTGTGCATTCATGTTACTTATATAAAATTATTTGTTCAATACATTTTTATCAAGTGAAGAAAAAAATTGTTAAAAATATTTTGATACAGCAAATAAAGCTTTAAGCATAAAAATTGAGTATTTTAGCAAATAAAGAAAATGTTATCAATACACATTTCCTGAGATTCACTTAAGTGCACCTTTAATTGTTTTTGGCTGATGCTTTAAGCATAAAAAAAATAGTTTAAAAAAAATGTAAAAAAAAAAGCCATTTGCAAAATATTTTCATTTTTATAAACAACTAATACTACAAACTCAACAAAAACTTGAAAATAATCCTGCAATTTTTAAAGAATACTCGCACAGATCCAATCAAATCAATTATCATCACTACTGTAATCATTTGCAGTGTAGTTTTTCTTTTTACTTTTGTTCATTTTTAGCTGCCTTTCTTCTCTATCATCCTAAAAAAAAAGTTAAGTTATTAAACAAAGAAATACATATTTAATAGTTCTATTCTATTTTGTTGGTTTATGGCATGTGTAGTTAAGTCAGGACAGCTAAGCTGATGTTTAAGTCAATCCAGCTTAAGAAAGGAATAATCCCAAATTAAGTTTTTAAAGCTTGATAAATTCTAGCTTTGAAAAATAATTTTCTAATATTTTTTTATTATGATGGGTAGCCATATCTTTTACCAGTAACCAATGTAGATTGTAAATGTTTACCAATATGATTTGGTCAAAATTTGTTTTCACTTTGCATGGAACCAAAAAAATTATCAAATAAGTTTCATTCTATGACAACAAAAAGCTGTTTATTATACCTGTGTTTTTTTATATTGTCTAGCATCATATTCATCACTTGCTGGTGGGCTTCGAGATGAGGAATCTCTTTGCTTTGACTTCTTCTTTTTAGGTGGAGGTGTGGAAGAACGGCTGCGCGAGTCAGAATCAGCATTCTGGATTCTGTCTGAACGGGGAGATGAAGGAGAAGTAGATACCTGCTTTTTAGACCTCTTTGAATTCCTTAAATAGAGAAAAAAATGTTTTTACTATTTACATGATAAATACATTTTTTTTACAAAACGGAAAACATTAAAGAATGTTTTAAAAAAGAAAAAATGTAGCTATAAAATCCCATACCTTAGTTTTGGTTCAGGTGAACTTGAAGGTGATCTTTTTAAACTTTTTTTGGGTGAAGAATCACTGAAACTGTCGTTTCTGAAACATTTTGTAAAATAATATATGCATTAATATTACTTACTTAATCTCTTCTTTTTAAAAAATAATGTACATAAATAAATATTCTATCCAGCCATACAGGATGTACACTCTTTAAAACAGTTACTATGTATAAAAATAGCCCTTACCTGCTAGGTGAATGTTGGGATCTACTATGCCTAGCTGGACTCTCAGATCTGGACCTGAGAATGTTGAAAATAATTATGAATTGGTCTGTCTACACAACTACTTTTCTTCAAACTACATATAAAATATAATTTTTTGTTTAGATGTCTTAAATTTTACCATCATGTGTATTAAAGAAGGAATTCTAAAAAAAAATATTATTTACTTAATAAGGATCTCTAGAAAGAAAAAAATTACTAATTGAATTGTACCCTTTAATAAGGGTAAAAAAAAAAGAAATGGGGAATAATATCAGTAATAAAATTTGCATACAAAAAAGCCTTAGGAAACAATTATGCGCATTATTAAAAAAAAATTTAATGGTAATTCCAAAATTTAAAAAGTCAGATTTAAAAATATTGCATGGATTATAAAATCCATTCAATAATGCAGGGTACTTAACAACTAATTTCACTGAAAGAAAAGGACAGAAATATAATCATAATGAAAACTAGGAGACAAGGCAGTAAGAAGATACAGATTCTATACAGGGTATACAGTACCCAACAAATCCATACACATTACCCCTCATTTTGTAATAAACTTCAGGAAAACTGAACGACCAGTAGAATACTCGACCGAATAAGGACCATGAAGAGTGCTTCAGGCCTTGAGCATATGGGCTTGCCTCGCTAATACAGCAATTAATTCCAAACGAGGAAACGACAGAACCAACGTCTGGTAGCGAAGTCTTTATGCTCGTCCTATCTTGGCCATCATCTTCAGCTGTACCATCTACTCATGAACAGCATGCTGCTTGCTCGACTCTATCTAAGTACGGCTTTGGAAGAAGAACCAACGATACGACTGGGTTGGGAAACCTAACGATCGCTCAGCATAGGACTCTGCATCACATTCGATAACATTCCACTAGCTCGTAATCAAACGTAAAGGTGAATTATATCATTCCACAATCACTCTGGACTTGAAGGCTGTAGCAGGTTGGTGAAAACAATGGGCCAGTATGGATGCCCCCTTGAATAAATGTGGCAGGACAACAAATTAAATTACACAGACCATTTCAAAGAAACATAAAATTCATGTTAGGATTATAGACAATAGTCTTATAATCTGATAGATAAAATCTTTTTTTGTGGAATGATAAATAATATAATCTCAATTCTCAGAGAATCTGCATTTTCACACAATTTTTATAATATAAGCTTTAAAAAGGTTAATAATTTAGAGAAATAACAGATAATTATTTCTGAGAATTAAGAATCAAACCTTTCAGATAAAAACAGATGTGATAAACATCTTTTAAAAATACTATTTTAATAAAAGATTATTGTTAACAGATAAAAATATAATAACAAAAACAATTAAAACAATTGTTAAGAATTTAAAAAGTAATCATTTAACTAAAAATTTTTGCTGCATTTCATGTTGAAAATATTTTGATTAAAAAAAAAGTTTTAAAACAACTTCACATGAAATAAGAGCAATTAAAAGAAATTTTACAACATTAAAATTTGAATAAAGCTATTTAATGAATTACAGCCAATGCACAAACAATAGCACTTTTTGTTTTAAAATTATGTTTAAAACTTAAGTATAAATGATTACCTTTCTTAAAAAGCATTTAACCCTAATATCTTGTGCTATATAATAAAACAATTATTCAGCCAAGAGATTAATTCCATTTCATTTCATTATATAGCATAAGTTGAACAAAGCATGAAGGTAACCTGATTACTGATTGAAGTGAAGCTTAGATGAGAATGTGTAAACTATTACAAACAAATAAAGGACTCACCTTCTGTAGCTGTTATATCTGTCTCTGGATCGTTGCCATTGCTGGCCACCTCTGGAACTATGGTAATCACCTCTACCTCTATTATCCCAACCACCTCGTCCCCTCTGACGCCGTGGATTACTATTAATAGGCTTAGCATGCTCAACTCTTACTTTACGGCCACACACTTTCCTGGAGAAGAAGTTTCATTATCATAAATTCAGGTATTGCATAATACAGCTTTAGGAATCCATTTTTATTTCCCCTTTCCCACACGACCTTAGCTAGAACTCCATTTAAATGAGGTAAAAATGCAGAGAAATAAGATTCAAAACGACATTACTTTCAATGTAAAAATGTAGTGCCAGATTAGACATGTTACAAAACAAAATTACTATTCGTGTTTTTACTTAGAAGGGGGTATATAATTCACATTAATAGCTTTCATAGTCAACAGTAAATATTTAATATTTATAGGAGTTTTAATTATTATTTGTTAATTTTATATTCTCTTGGACAAGGCAATTACCATCACACAATGTATAAAAATAAAATTTCTTCAAATTATGACAGACAAACTTTATTGCCTCCCCTTATAATTTGGTTAACTTGGTTTAAATAAATCTTTTAATCCCCCTTCTTACTCCATCAAAATATAAATGCTACTCAAACTACTTTCATTTTTAACATTGTTGTCCATGTTAATAGCAATGAAGAGAATTGAAAAGTCACCAGTCAGGCACAGAACAACATAGTTGCTGCCTATAAATAATAAATAGGCCTATAGAAATCTAGGTAACGATTCAATTCAGCCTACATGCTAGAGGTTACACTATTTTTATTACTGAAAACACTGAAGCAAGATGTGACTAATTCGTTTCTTTTAATTCTATAATGACTGTTCATTTCTTGTGTTTATATCACAGTGACAAAAATGGTAGTGGGCCTGTAAAAAATAGCCAACTTTATTTTTAAACATAATACTAATCTACAGTCTTAACCTGAAAATAATTTTTACTACTCAACTAATGCCTACCTGCCATTCCTATCTCTTACTGCTTCCTCTGCATCCTCTGGGTATCGATATACAACAAAAGCATAATTCTGTGAGGTCCTAAAAAAAATTAACAAATACGGTTCAAGTATGTGGATATATATTAATATTTACAAGTATAGGCCTAAAGGAATAAATAATATAATTAATAATATGATTGAATATAGTTGTAGATTGTTTATTTTTTCATAGACTGATGATAAACCTAATAATGCTTCTGTATGGAAATCTATTTTCTACTATGGAAATTTATATTTAAAAAGTTCTAGTATTTTTAATGAAACCAACTTTTAAATTTAGCCTTCATTCTCCAACGCAAATTTTGAAATGCTTTTCTGGCATATATAGCCCTGCCACCTATAGTTTGTTGTTATAACGTGATAACCCCGCCATTTTGCTTGTGGTAAACATTTTAAAAGTAATTCATAGAAGGTCACTGGAATTTGGCAAAAAAATTGTCAGAAGTCATGCGTCCAGTCCGGACGCCATATTGTTGTTAGCAACTGACCCCCGTCTCCAAGTTAGCCAGTAATACTATCATTAAGCATATGAAAAATGCTAAAAATAGCCTGATGTCACATAACAATTGCACTTGACAATTCGTGGGCTAATATTGTAACCTCCCCTTAGTTTCAAAATTGTTTAAAAACAATTGTAAACATTTAGCATGAACCACAGCTCAGCAGATTACTGAAAAGTTTTAAAACAATTGTTTAAAAAAAAAAGGTACATGAGTGATACTTTGAAACATATTTGTAACTTTCGAAACATAGATCTAAACCCTCCTAAAAATTTGAAATAATTACTAAAATTTAATGAGTCACATTTTTTTCACATTATTACTAGAGTAAAGTTCCGCGGTTTAACACACTCTGAGGCCATCACCCTGTTTATCGCTTTGTATAATAATTGTATGGTTGTTTTATACAAAACTACCGATATCTGCTGTACGCATGTCCATTTCTAAATATATCAAGGTCAAAATCTTTTGTTTTCTCCTTCTGGAAGACGAGTTTTTAATTTTTTTTTAAATTTAGGTATGACGTCGTCTGTGATCCCAGTTTCCGCAGATGAAACGAGGTGCAAGATGAGATGATTAAAACCAACCAATCAAAGCTTTTTATAACTATGTTAACTATAAATAGCTTCTACATATGTGCAGGACCCTGTAAATAAGGCTATTATAGCAACCTGAGAGGTGAAATGGGGGTGGCTGCAGCTTGGGTAATGATTAGGGTGGTTTATCCTCGCTGCGTCACCAATGACTTGAGCTAGACTAGCCTAGATCTAGATGCTCTATATTTCAAGCTAAGTCTAGAATCTATATAGTTTCTAAATTCTTCTTTTGTTTTAAATTATTTCGATCATCTACTTCTTCTAGAACTAGTTTGTGTCTCTACATACAAGCATGTCTAAGCAAATATAGGTTATGTCTTGTTAGTGATTGGGACGTCCCTTGTGTTATAATTATTATAGTTGCGTCCCTTGAGTCATCACTGGGTCATCCGTGATGTGCAGTTAATAAATTTAATTGAAGTGGTTTTTTTATTTGATTTTGCAATCTATTAATTAATAATACAATCAACAACACGTTTAAAAGAGTAAAATATGTATTTTAGTTATTAAAATTGGGTTAAAACGAATAAAATATGATCGTTACGCTAAAGGTCCAGGTGGCCGCAGGAAAAAAGTAGGGGGGGGGGGGGGGAAATATCGCAAGAAGTGAAGGTACTAAAACATGAATATCTCAAATTCTATGTGTAGGAATACAAATTGACACATACAAATTAGTAATTAGAGTAGAATGGCAGCAGAGAGTAGTATAATACTTTTGATTTGTTTCAGTGTCAAACGGTTACAAAACAGCGCCCGATAAAAATCGGGAGTTCGGAATTTTAAACTATGTGTGATCGGCTGTGGAATTTTACTTACTACAGTGACTACTAGTACTAGCCTCGACCGATTTTAGATCAAGAATCTAGATCTAGATCTAGAACCTACCTAAAATGACAGATTACCAATAAATGTAATAAATGAAAATACTAAAATAGCTACACAGTAAATAGACTTATAAATTATCAGCTCTAGATCACTTACGCCTCCCGTTTCCTACCCATCCACACATCAGTTACAGGCCCATACTGTCCAAATTCTTTTTCCAAATCAGTCCTGCCTATCCGTGTTCCAATGTCACCAACATAAACTCTGAAGCCACCAAAATGACTTCCCCCATCATTGCTAGATCTTCTGTTATCTCTGTAAGACATCGTTGAAGCTTGACGTCTGTCTGAGGCGTAGCTATTGTCCTCGCTATCACTGTATTTGCTCATTCACACAGATTTTAGATTGCTTTATCTCTTAAAAATAGTTAAAAAATGACTGTCGGTAAGGATTCTTAATAATTACATACAAACAACGGCAGCCATAATTAGCAACAGGGAATCAACGGACATTAAAGACACGTAAGTGGTATAAGTTTCGTATAAGCTCATATTTTCGCTACACTTGTTTTAAACTATTTGAATGTTGAATTATGTAATGTAGATCTAGATTTATATGTAATTATTTACTTAGAACCCATATCTTATTTATATTCTTATAAATTGAATAGAGTCCAATGTTTATTGTAAGGCACGGTAGTTTCGCATAAATACCAACGCAACGTCGGCTTTTAAAGAAACTAGGTAGAATCTAGATCTAACTAAATCTCAGAGGCGTCGTGAGGCGGGGGTGGGGGTGCGGACCGCACCGGGTGACACCATTTAGGAGAGTGACACCAAGACAAAAAATAGCCAAATTGTATAGAATAAATATTCTGTTTGCCAGTTCAATGAATAGTTAATTATAGGTATTAGGTTAAAGTATTAAAAGTGATGCAGTGGTATTACTAGGTCGTATGTCTCCAAATTCTCTCTCCAATCGTTTAGCATTTTTGGTTGGTGTCAACTCTCTCAATGTATTTTATTTTAACTAAAAAACGTTTTGACAGTAGATTTTATCAATTTACCGGTGTGATGATGTTAGTTGAAATGCGAGTATAAACAGTTAGTGTAGTATTTATTTGAAACAAATTATGGGCCAAAGTTTGTCACTACTTGAGAATGGAGAGAAATATGTGATGTAGTTGAGGGAGGAATGTCTACATTGTGTGTAATATCATTCCCATTAATTGGCATGGGGTATAAGATTCAGTAGCCCAATAAACATTCCATTATGTCTCACTGTTGCGAAATCATTCTTTATATACAAAAAGACTTTAAAAGTACAAATAAAGATAAGCTTAGTCTCAGATCATTCAGGTTAGCAATTAGCTGGTGAAACAGGATTTTTTTTCATTCTTTTATCATGCTTTCATAGAAGTTAACAACAATTTACTAGTTGTAGGATAATTTTTATTCTTAAATATTGGAGGAAGTATGCCAGACTAAGGCATGTACTTGTAACAACTGATGATATTTGCTTAAAAAATCTGACAAACACACTCGTTTTATATGCTTAACCTGAAATATAAAAGAAATAATTTCACTTTTATTTAAGATAATAAAATTCTATACAAGTCATTATATACTATCCATTATTGATCCCTCTCAGTATTTAAATAAATAGGCCCTAATGAGATAATCAGAAGAAATACAAGGTAATTAATAGATGATGCTCCTCTTTAATGAAAATATATTACTATTACTCTATATAGATATGATATGAATGACTCTTTCAAATTAATAAAAATATTAGTCAAAGTGTAACATAAGCCTCCGATATATACGACTGATCCTCCCCCAATATAATGATAACATGACAGCCTATATATAGCCCTCCAACTGAGCTACCAGCTATTTATCACTGATTTATGTTAAAGACTTATAAAATAATACAAATAATTAAGAATACACATCAGAAGTAATCTCCATTCATACTATATAAATAGCTTGTCATTGATTTCTTTCTGAAAAAATGGACATTTTTGCTGAAATTTATCTAATTTAAATTGATTTATAAAATTACATAAACAGGCCACATGGTTCATATAAAATGGTCACCATTTTATTTATAGATAAGTGAACAAAAAATATATATATTAAAATGTACTACTCAGAAAATATCTGTTAATGGTAACCTTCATAAGTTACTATATCAGTTTTAATTTCTATCACATATCATTAGCCTAATCTTTCAAATAGTGACACAAAGTCACCTCATCTCATCTTTAAATTGCTGACATTAAATAAGTCAACACACACCTTTCAAATGGTGACACTAAGTCACCTACACACCTTTTAAATGGTGACACAAAGTCACTTCATCTCAACTTTAAAATGTTAACACCAAGTCAACATTTAAAACATCTCATCTTCAAATTTACGGCAACTTTAGTGCTTATGCAAAACCCAATCCTTCTTTCTAGTGAACCAACAGCTTTAGAAGCAATCTCATCATGTAGATTTTATCTACAAAATACACTTTCTAGACTAATTATCTATGTATGCAATACTAAGTAGCACCACCAAATTAATTCATAATCAATCTAAAACAACCAGTCAACCTATTTACAATAACGTTGTGTAGAATACAGACAGATTACATTATACTAAACTGAAAAAGAACCTTATCACAGTTGGTAAAAAGACAGAAAAATCCTTTTTAACATTCTTGTTAAATATCCATAACCATTTGAACCCTGACCTTTGGGGTCAGCCTTGCATAAAACATATACTCTTGTTAACTCAGAAAATGATGTTTTGATTTGTTGGTAATTTTTTTCAATGATGGTTTTGTCTTTACAAAAGATGCTAAGGTAAATTCATGTAGCACAAGAATTGTTTCATGAAAGTAATTCTTTTCAGGCTTTCAGGGTTCAAGGGGTTAACTTTAAAAACAATATTTTTAATTTAATTACACATATTAAACCATCACTGTCAAAGATAAATATAAGTATTATTCAATGCTCAAAGTAGAAAACTCCTCCTTACAAAGTTTTATGAAAAAGGGCAAGGAAAAATATAAAAATATCACTAGTTAAGCATAAAACAACAGCTAAAACAGTTGCACAGCAAAAACTCATTTAGAAGGTTGAGGGTTGGAGAATTAGATGCAGATCTAACCTCAAAATGCAATCTAGAGAAGGTAAAACATTCTTCACTGAAGGCAGGGCCTCACTGTCTTGTTAGTGCAGCACTATTCCATTTGGCCAGTTTTTTTTTAAAGTGAGATTCAGACCAAATTATTTAATAAATAGATGGCAGCAGTGTTTTGAAGTCCTTGACCTCCTTGTGTTTGCCCCAACCATGAAAACACATAACAAATTTTTTGTTCTCCTTGTACTTCATTGCTAGCAGCAGTTTCCTTGGCTTGTCTGGCTGTTTGTTCCTTAAATGCTGGATATAAACCTGACACAAAACAAACATCTATTAGAACAAGGAAATAAATTAATTAACTAATTATTTTTTTAAATACTTCACTAACTAGCTGCTTTTTAAATTTCTGCTAGTGTTTGGATAAAATGTTGAACCATGTTTAAGGTTTAATGAAACAAATACATTGTACTGAGGATACAGACCTGAGCACTTTTAAATGCTAACTTGATCTCAACATCGCTGGTCTTTTTGCCAACCCACAGATAAACTTGTTCACCATTGTCCAGTATCATGACATCATCATCAGCAAGGTCATCCTGTCAGTCAGACAAGCAAAAAATTAACAAGACAGCATCTCTAGTTACAATGTTCAGTATCATCAAACATTTGAAAGCTGAAGCGAAACTGAGTTAGATTCTCTGAATTTTTTACCTGACAAAAATCTGCACATTTCTCAGAAACTGTAAAGTAGCCTTTTTCATTGGAACATCTAAAAAGTCTTGCATAATGCATGTAGGAATAGTCCTGGAAGCAACAAGTGGTCATCACATTATTTAAATACACATCATATCAGTTAACTTCTTAACAATCTAATAAATCAATTATAACACTGTCATTATAAATAAATATAATTTAATGTTGAATAAAATGATCTGTCAGTTCTAATTAACTACTAATATACAAATATTAAAAGGTGCTAATGATCAGGCTAAGAAGTACCTGCTCGTATGACTTTCTGCCACCTATACCAATCCAGAAAAAGTTTTCTGGCTCCTCTCCTTCATTTATCATTTGTATTGTAAAGTCCTCCTTCAATTCATAAAAATATGTTTATGTAAATTCATGATTTATTAATCAATAAGATGAACCAATACTAAACATCTAATAAGCTTTTAAACTAAATGTGAGGCATTAAACATTGACTGTTTTTAATGTTTATACTCAAAACAAAGCCAAAAATATCAATCTGCAATTTTTTCTTACCTTATACATGGAATAAGCAATCTCTTCAGCAATCTTCGCTTCCTTGTGATCAGCTTTTTTCCCAACCCAGACATAAACAATTCCCTTGAGTTCGTCACTATCAAATGGTACCATTAAGATAAAGCTGCGGGATGAAAATAATCAGGAAAAGTTTTTGATGAAATCAGCCAATTAAACACACAAGTGTAGCTTTAAAACTACTCTTTATTTCTCCAAAAAAGACTTATATCACAAACATATTAAATACATAAAACTATCACAAATATTTATTGGAATGACATTAGTTATACATTTTTCATTTACAAAATCATTTAGTATGCATCAATTGTACAAAAAAGTTAATCCACAACTATAATTAAGATAACTACTTACCAGAACCTTGGACATAACCAAGTAGCATCTGGTTTCTCCAACTGTCAACATTACAAATTATAACAGGTTAAAAAAATTATTTCTCAACTATTGGGATTTGAATACAATTCAATTTTTTTTTAAATCTGAATATTATACTGACATACCTGAATACATCTGGTTGCAATAGGACTACCATTAGCTCGAAGTTGGAAAAATTCTGTCGCTGGTTTGATTTTTTCTGAGCCGGCCGGTCTGGCTGCAGGTCGTTTCCCAAGCTTGATGATAAATTTCCGCTTGAAATGTGAGAGAAACTTGAGGTTCTCCTGTTGTTGGAATTGTCTCACTACTTCAAGTTTGTCACCAAACAGGGTTTGGAATTTTTTTTGAAGACTAAAATATAAATGTATACAAAAATTAATACATTTTATATTACAATACTGTTCATCAAATTTTCAAGACCCAGAATTCTTAATGCATAAATATTACTAAATCACTTGATTAACTCAATTTAGTTCACTTTTTTTTTTCAATAAGTAATTACATTTAAAAACTATTTTACCTAAAAGTAAAAGTAAGCCAGCCCATGTTGGAAGCATTTCTACCCTGCCAAAAATACACAATACATTTGAATTCGTCCTCTGGCAAGTCTTCTTCATCCATTTCCTCCTCTCCCTCAGGTAGCTCGACAGGCACCCAGTAACGACATAAGAACACATAACAGTCTTCAGTGTGAAAGACACCTAGAAAAGACAAGATAAAAAGATTTTAAACATGTACTGTATTAGGTGATAATTGTCAAACCTAGATACATTTGATCATGAAATAAAACTATCTTGCCTAATTCTTCATCTGGTAGTCTCACAAACTTTTTGCCTTCCAGTACAAAAGACTCCATGCCATCCAGATCCTCATTCCAATCAGAGGAAAGAATCTCCTGCAATAGTAAAATAAGAAATTTCCAACCTGTTTAAATTCTAACTTTAAAAAAAAAAGATTTTACTTGATGCTTCTAAACACTATTGTTCCTTACTGCTTCTTCTTCAGTCATGGCTGGCTGCCTTGGCATAAACAATGCTGACAAGTCTGTCTGTAATTTGTCTTTTTCCATTATCACCTATTTATTGGGAGAAAAAAGTTATGTTAAAATTCAAACTGAAAGAACATATATTACAAATTAGTTTAAGAATGGTGTACACCTGTTAGTGACATATGGATAAAATAAAGCCCCTGAAAACTATTTACAAAGTATAAAAATTAAATCAGCAAGATGTTTCTTACTTTAATATCAGCTCCTCTCCTAGCTATAGATTCAACAGAGCGTGTGTAATCTACTGGCAAGACATCATCCCAGCCAACAAATTTGGTTTTAAAAATCTGAGGCTCTGTTCTAAACATGCAAGAAATTACAAGTTAGAAAACAAAATTTTTAAAATTTCAGATAACAATATAAACATAGATACACTTTGGGTTTCAGATAATAAAGTTAAAGAAAAACATTAACATGTAAATAATGTTATGAACTATTTAACTAAATAATTAGATTCTGCATTGTTATGTGTTACCAAAACACATACCCTTCAAGACATCTGTATATCGTAACATATTCTGGCCTGTCGATCATATCATGGAGTTCTTGAGCTAACTTTAGGGCTGCTGCTCTAACTAATCTAGTAGATTTTTTACCAATCCTAAAAAATTGTCAAACTTAAGTGAATTAACATTCTACAAATTAAAATTCATTAATGATAATTAGTTCAACAACATACAATTAATGCTGACAAAGTTATATTAAAGTTAATTTTAAATTTCTTAAAATAATAATTTTTAACTTACCAGACAAAAACATCTGTTATACAATCTAAAATATAAACACATTTTGTGTCTAGCAAAGTATTCACCAATCGATTTTTAGGGATGTGGACTGAAATAAATATAGATTATCATTTAAAATATTGTTTACACAGTGTTTTACTCTTTGTACTCCATAATAATAATAAAAAAATGTGATATAAAAAATGTAATAATATATAAAGAAAAAAAAAGCCAATGCGCCCACCTTGAGGAAGCTCCAAATAGCCTTTACCCAGTCCTACTCTGTAAAGTCTTGGATCAGCTACTGGAATATCTGACAGTGGTGAAGTCTGAAAGAAAGTGATAATACTCTTCTAATATTCCAAATGAGTCAACCGAGTCATAGAAAGGATGCACAAGTCACAACTAAAGCTTGAATTATTTTCAGCAAAATAGTCAGGTACCTTAATTTCAAAAGTTTCTGGCTCTCCTTCTATAGTTCTCCAAAAATCTGATGTTTCCTTGCCTTGGGGAAATTGAATTATTTCGGATTTTCCTTTCCTCTCATTTTTGTTAATTTTTTCAGCAATTAGTCTAAATAAGAGGGAATATAGATGTTGTATGGTAGTGTTCATATACATTAAATACACACTCAAATATTTTGACATAAAAATTTTGGGATATTACTAGTTTTCATTAACACCTAGTAAATGTTACGTTTCCATTTTTTTGCAAATGAGGCTTTAAAAATTAGTTTAAAAATACCTTGATTTGGTGCGTGTAACCAGATTAGACTTTGCCCCATTCCAAATAAAGACTTTAGGGCCAGCATCCAGCAAGAAGACATGCCTAGAATCCAACACTTTAGTTGTAAGAGGACACTGCAAACAACAAAGGAAAACAACTTTAAATGCCAGTTGAAACCTTAACTGGTTAGCTTAGCAATGGTTGGTGCAGAACTCACCCTCTCCATGTGCACAGACTGCGTCCCCGTAGCTCTGTAAAGTCTGACCTCAGGTTCCTGGGAGAAATAGAGTGACCATATCTCAGATTAATACAACACCATGGGATTAACTACTTTAATTAACCTTTTTAATTTTTATATGTTCAATGTTACAGTTTGAAAAAAAAATTCCCAAAATAAAATTAATCTACATATTCACTAAAAAAAAACCTCAAAACCTGATTAGAAAAACTTTGTCGAAGTTTCTCTATGTAGACAATATTAAAAAATTATGGTAAGAGAGATCACTTTCTTACAGCATCTTCTACTGTGTAAAAACCACTTGAAGTTCGCCCGCCTTCTATAACAGAGAGTCCACACTCAAACAAGGCAAGGAACTCTTCATCTTCATCATCCTGATCCTGGCGGATTGTTCTACAGTCAGCCCCAAGTAAGTTTCTTAAGTTGACAGCATGTATGGCAGAACAGGCTTTTTTGTCAAGCTATACAAATGGAGAATTCATTATTTAAGTATTATGGACAATTTGAGAATAAAAAAGAATATTATAATACAAAATTTATTTTATTACAAGTCCACTAGTATTTTTTAACTTCCCTCCCTCCCCCACCAGTCCCCCACCATTGCATGCACTGGTGGAAGAAAGTTGTCCAAAATAACTGACTTACCGTGGCATCACTTCCTATCCAGTACCATATTTTCCAGTTCAAGCTGTTTGACTCATCAATAAATGTTTTAAGAATGATGTAACAGTCTGCTTGATAAAATTTACCAATAAGTCCTGCAATGCACAAGGTGATATTTTAAAACCAAACTAACAGAGTAGTAGTAAAATATAAATGGACTAAATTTTGAATTATAAAGAATATTTTAAAAAATAATTCACCTTCATCAACTAAGTTAGGCAGAAAGTTTTCAATTTCCCAACAAGACAAACCTAAATTATAAAAGAATGATTTTAAAAAAAAGTTTATGTAAGATTAAGGTTAAAAATAAAGCAATATTTATAAACATAAAAGATAATAATAAAATAGTGTAAGTAAAAAATATTTGAGAGTTAACACGGCTGAAGATCATAAAAATCCATGATTAAATAAAACATTTGTATTATATTCTGAAATAGCAGACACAGTGTTTAAAAATACTAAGTCTTATATACCTGGAATTTGTCCAACATCTTCATCAAAAATCTCACTGTAATCTAATTGGGGTCTATGTAGATTTTCATCCCATTTCTTAGGTCTATTAAAAAGAGAAAGAAATAATTTTTTACAATATTTTTTAATTTAAAAAAGTATAAAGGCAAATGGTCTTACTTCAATGGATCTCTATTCTATAAATACTTGTAAAAACATGTTTGTTATGGACTTACTTCAATGGTTCTCTATTCTATAATTACTTGTAAAAACATGTTTGCTATGGACTTACTTCAATGGTTCTCTTATCTCATCATCTTTTGAGTTGCCCTTGCCTTCAGCTTTATCTTTAGCTACATCTCTCATACCCTGAAACATTGATGGCAAAACTTTAAATTTTCTTCCTCACAGACACCAAAAGTGTCCAGAATTTTAAAAATTTAAAATAAAATACCTTTAAAACTTTTTCACTTTCCTGTCCATCCCTTCGTCTTCTCAGTCTTAATTTCCTGGCCACTGGATCACTTTTGGGGGCTAAGGATACATTTTAAAAATAAATGTAACAACCATCTAATTCAGTTATTAAGTAATAGTAATCCTAAATAGAAACTTCTAAATGTGAAACTTAATTTCATTGAAATCTTAGCAAAAACTAAAACATTTAAATTGATTTTTTAACCTTGTTTAAGTTTTGATATGTTTAGAGACAAACAACTAAGATATATTATTTTTTTAAAACTTAAAACTGACATGGTGTTTGCCCAGACGAGGGAACAGGTTGAGCTCCAGCCAAGCGCAACTGTGTGTTCAGTGAGAAATCAATGTTGTAGTACTGCAGAGCAGACTTTGCTTCCTGGGGCTTTGGTGGCATGACTAAATCTGGGTTTTCCCTCACATCTAATGTCTGAGGTAGAGAGGAAATGTTTGTTTTTATTTCACTGGAACTAGAACAAAGTACACTAACCTAACTGTTGGTAAACTATTCGTTGAGTAAAAAAATAAACAAGCACATTGAGATTATTTAATATAAAATATTCACAATATTTATACTAAATGTCAATATTAAATATGCAATAAAAATTGATGAGTTACCTCCAGCCCAGGTAGAAGATGGAGTATGTCTGGTAATGTAATAAGTCTGTTGCCATTTAGAACAAGTTTCTTTAGTTTCCCACATCTGTTAAAAAAAATATTGGTAGGTCTATAATCTATAAAACACAAGTAAAAACGTGCAAGATTCTTATGGAAAGTATTTTGTTTTACCTCCCTAAGCCTTCTGGAATCATCTCTAAATTATTTTTGGCAGCACTAAACACCTCAAGGTTGTGTAGCTTGCCAATGTTGGCGGGAATTCCTTCAAAGTCAAGCTGATTTTGGTTGACATACAGTTTCTTAAGATTCTGAAGCTTATGAAGTGAAGACTGAAAAAAAGTGGATATTTTTACATAGTCTTAATTTACGGTTTTTCACTTTAAAAATGCTACAGTTAAAGATTTATAAGCAAATTGCTTACAGGTAAAGCTTTCAATTTATTGCGAGACAAATTCAAGGTTTCCATTTTTGTCCATATATCTGAAACAGTGAGAAGGGTAAGAAAAAATATTTGTTTTATACAGTTTAACACATTTATATAGAAAACGATAAGACAATAAATAAAAGGTGAAAAATTGAAATCTCACCGATCATTAGAGAGAGTTCACCAATCTCATTATTGCTTAGGTTGAGACGTTTTAAAGACTCTAATTTGTATAAGGCTTCAGGCACTCGAGTCAATGTATTGTAAGATAAATCAACATCTATTAAAAAAGGAATTACATTCTTGTTATTTAAAAACAAAATAATATATGCATACATTTCAAAATACTGCCCCTCCACCCTGAACACATTTCTTTCTTTCTGAAGATAGTCATTAGTTAAAAATAAATGTAATAAAAGTAACAACAATTGAACCACTATACCTTGTAGGTTTGTGAGTGTATCCAAACCAGTTGGAAAATTATTTAGTGTTCTTTGTGTGTTTTTCATTTTAAGTGTTTGAAGTGCTGTCAGTACGGGTAGCTGCCTTTAAGATTTTAAAAAATAAAAACATACTTTAAATTCTAATTAAGGGTGAAAAAGCAATTTTATTTCATAATTTAAGCATAGAAATAAAAATATGATTATTTGTGTGCTTTTTTAAAAGTAACTTTGCATATGGTATAATCTTTTTGAAAGAAATATCTAGTTTATTTCCTGCATTATAAACTCCAATAACAAATAGACAGACCTTAGTTGAGCATGTATCAGTGGGTTGTTATCAAGAATCAGAGTTTGAAGACTGGTCAACCTTCGCATTTGAGGGGGCAATGTTTCTATTTGAATTACAAAAAAAAAATTCAAAAAGATAATTTAATTAATAATTCATTATCTTTTTTGTTAGAATGTTTTAAATATAATTTTATATCAAAAGATATGTTTTACTAAAAATGTGCCCCCAGATTAGCTAATTGTATCTTACCTAAGTTGTTATTGCTTAAATCTACAAACACAAGGTCTGTTAGATTAATAAACAGCTGATTTGGTATCAATTCAATTCTGAAAATTAAAACAATATTTTTGTAATTTATTATTGTTTTTGAGTACTATTTTATATGTACTAACTGGCAAGACCTCTTACAAATAAATATTTATTTCTACTGTGTCTACATATATATTTCTACATTACTTATTCTATTAAATAAGTAGCTAATTTCAACAATAAATATATTTTCCTATGTATAAATGAAACTGCCTACAACTTTAACTTAAAAAAATATAATGATACTCACTGGTTGTGACTTAAGTTGAGTACTAGGACAGATTTTGCATTTTCTAATTCTGGTGGAACTTGTGTAAGTTTATTGTGACTTAAATCCTAAATAAAGATATTTTTAATTTTATATTTGACTGAACACTGAAAAAAAAGAATAATTATTTCAACTAAAAAAATGGTGTCCCTAAATAATGACAAATACTAAGTTAAAATTAAAACTTACGACTATAGAAAGATCATTTCCGGTAAAAATTTTATTGGGCACACCAGCATCAGTGAGTTGGTTAAATCTGAAGTTAATACTATGGAGGGCTGGCAACAGTGGCAAGTCATTACCCAAAGACTCAATCTCATTATGGACCATAACCAAATCTTCCTAGAAAAATAAATAGTATCAGAATAATATACACATTTTTTAAAAAAAGAATGTATTAATTTGAATTAAATAATTAGAGATTAACTATAATGTAGTATTTTACTCTAAATTATGTTATTTTAATATTGTTAAAAGGAATTGCAGGACTAAAATATCAAATAATTACATACAAGTTTGTTAAGAAATCCAATTTCAGCTGGTATCTCTTTAAGCTTGGTATGACTTAATCTAAGCCATCGGAGTCCTGTCATGTCTTGTACATGATCAGGAAAGACATTCTTTATAAAAAAAAATTTAAAAATTTAAATAACATTTATGTCAGAATTAAATCTCTTATATTTTGTTAGATTTTTTAATGGCATATAAAATATAAATTACAAAAATACATAAAATATAAATTACATAAATAAAATACATAAAATATAAATTACAAAAAGTAAAATAATAGTTAAAAAAATGAATGGGTCATAAATGAATGGGTCCTCCAATAACCCCAAAGAATTGTGTGCTGCGCAAATATGAAAATATTTCTAAAGCAATATTTTTATATAAATACAGTGAATGAAAGAACTACAAAGTTAGAAATCTAAAGTAAATGACTTGAACACTGTAATGTGCATATAACTGCCTTGTTGTTGTGGGCAGGTGAAGTAGAGTCCATTTTAAGCCATTTTGTTATAAAACTGTACTGCACAGATATGAAAATGTTTCTAAAGCAATGTTTTATATAAATACAGTGAATGAAAGAACTACATAGTCGGAGTCCTGTCATGTCTTGTACATGATCAGGAAAGACATTCTTTATAAAAAAAAATTTAAAAATTTAAATAACATTTATGTCAGAATTAAATCTCTTATATTTTGTTAGATTGTTTAAATGGCATATAAAATATAAATTACAAAAAGTAAAATAATAGTTAAAAAAATGAATGGGTCATAAATACAAATATTAAATAACTTCATGATTGATTTTTTTCATGTAAACCATAAGTTCTAGACTAAAATTGTATACCTTTAACACTTATCTATCTTACATAAATTCCTAAGAAAATTATTTCTTGGTTTCAGGTTTAACATAATATATATTTGATAAATATGCTTTGCTGCACCTAATAGTTACTGTTTGATGGGGAATGGTAAGAGCTAGTTTAGACCATAACTTCTATTTTGCTTATTTTCTTGTTTTTGGGGTGCGTTTAAATTTAAAGCATAGGCCTATTATTTTTATATGTCATACATTTTGTTTTTCAGGGATGAGGAATGGCAAAAATTTATAAGGAATATTTTAGTTTTAAAATATTTAGGCCCTAAGTATCTTATTTTTTATATTTTTCAGGCATACTATTTTTGCCTATGTTTAACTTTAAACCACACCATACTGAAAATATTTGCTTTAAGCCCAATCAGAAGATTGTGATATATTACAAAATCTTTGACTGTTTTTTGTGTAAATGCTCAATATTATGTGGGCCTATCTGAAGGTGTTAAAAGGCCTAATTTTTAAAATTGTCACTTTGATGGTAAGATTTATTAGGGATTTAGGTATAAACACAAATTTCATTATATTAAAATAAAAAATATATGTTCTTGTAGATCTCAATCAGGAGAAAAAAAAACAGAAAAAAAATTCTTTCTATCCCAAATAGTTTTTTTTTATGAATATTTTTGTGGGGGGGGGGGGGGGGGGGGGGGGGGGTAAAAGTCCCTCATTTTAACATTGGCCATTTGTGACAAGTCATCATAGGGTATCTATAAATGAGTATAGTTTGGTTAATTTTGGTTGGATTTTGTTCATATTTGCAGAGTTTAATTAGAATGATATATAGAACTTGTAAATGCTGTTGAAATGAATAAAAATAATACAGAAGTATATTTTTGTGTTAGCTTCCTCCCATAACCCCAAAGAATTGTGTGCTGCGCAAATATGAAAATATTTCTAAAGCAATATTTTTATATAAATACAGTGAATGAAAGAACTACAAAGTTAGAAATCTAAAGTAAATGACTTGAACACTGTAATGTGCATATAACTGCCTTGTTGTTGTGGGCAGGTGAAGTAGAGTCCATTTTAAGCCATTTTGTTATAAAACTGTACTGCACAGATATGAAAATGTTTCTAAAGCAATGTTTTATATAAATACAGTGAATGAAAGAACTACATAGTCAGAAATGTAAAGTAAATGACTTGAACACTGTAATGTGTATATAACTGCCTTATTATTTTGGGCAGGTGAAGTAGAGTCCACCTAAGCCATTTTGTTATAAGTGAACTAAAGTTATCAGATCAATGTTTTTATGTGTATTGTATATGAATTCTGATTTTCAGCATATAAATATAACTATAAGTAAGGGTAAGTAGAACTTGAATACTTAAAATTACAGCTAGCACACAACTAGTGTAGTGTATTCTAAGTGTATAATTAGCAACAGACAGGTATCCTATGTCTGACTCAGCAAAATTTTACTTCAAGCAAAACTAGAACCAGAGTTGAAAAAAATGAAAGCAGGTATATTAAAATATTTTTAAAGCAACAAGTAGGAGATTTGTTTGTACATTACATAATGATGCTGTTGTTAGTGTATCAAAACTAAAAGACGGCAGATCGGGATGAAGAAATATAACATTGGCGTCAATGGGGGCAACGTGACCTACTTACGGTGACTACTTTCAAATGAGTAATTACTAATGTCAAAGTCGAAATATCCAAAAATAAATATCATTTCTATAAATATGGGATGTATCTGCTGTGGAAACTTTCATTATCTAAATGGAAACTTTTCAAAAATCGCGTTTTTAACGCATTTGAAGTTAACCTTTATACAGCGGTATGACCAAAGCAGAGACAGCATGCAATCAGATCGCTAAGCCATCAAAACAACTGGAAAACTATTCTACTTTTCATTTAACATTAGGAAATGAACTTTTAAACTTAATTAATTACCATAAATTAAAAACTTAGTATGCAAAACCAAATCTCGTGTGTCCGGTATCAGAAAGTAATGGGAGAATTCGGGTCATGTTTTTACCGTGAACTCGGCCGATACCGACAACCCTAGATTTATAAATATGAAATAACATTCATGGACGTTTCACATAAATTGATTGCTAAGACAGCAATAATTTCACTCTGGTCACTGAATTTTCCCACGTTTTCTTTAACTTGCTTTCTCTGTTTGTTTGTTTATTTGTCTTTCCAATCAAATCTTGCGATAGAAATTTCTGACACTTCCCAGTTAGCTAGCGCGCTGAAATTTTCAGGGAAGCTTTCTTTTGGATGACCATAGAATATGCAATTGTTATTATTACTAAATTGATCAATGGAAACATTTTATTGAGCATTTTAGACCGCTATATAATCTATATATATAATTCTCCTCTGCGAGCCATTAGAAAAAAAACCAGCGACGCGTAGCTCGCGCGCAGTGAAGCGAACAATTCCACGACGCGACAGGCTTAGGGGCAGATAATTTAGTTTGAACCGACTTAAAACTTACAGGAGGTAGGCCAGTTTGGGGGAGACGATATGGTCGAGTGGTTGGGCACACGATTGCTATCCCACTCGACACGGGTTCAAATCTATGTGTTCTAGTCAGTAACGTATTCACACAACGTGTTTTTTACGAGTTGTCTTTTTACGAGTTGTCTTTTTACGAGTTGTCTTCGTTTACCCAAAAAAAGTGAGAAGATAAAATCGATAGCAAGATTTTAATGCAAACAAACAGACAAAGACTAAAAAGTAGAAAATAATAATCATTAAAAAAGTTTTAAAAAACCCACGTTTTCTGATTGAACTAAAAAGTAGAAAATAAACGCTATACATCACAATAATGCAAGCGATCACTCTACTATAAGCGATCAAAAACGTGGGGCGCCGTGATTTTCTTACAGTTTCTAATACTGTTGACTCTCTACAAGCTCCCTAATAAAAGTCAATAGTATTATCTAATCAATAGTAATATAACTTTTACTTCGGCGCCCCACGTTTTTCATCTCTTATAGTAGAGTGATCGCTTGCATTATTGTGATGTATAGCGTTTATTTTCTACTTTTTAGTTCAATCAGAAAACGTGGGTTTTTTAAAACTTTTTTAATGATTATTAATTAACTGATAGTTTTCTATTCTTGTATCATCTTCATTAGTTAGAGGTACAATAAGTCTACTCTACTACTAGTCTAGATCTAGAACTACTTGTTTTTATTCTAATGTACTGTATTGATGGGTCAATAGTGTACACATTCTGTAGTGTACACAGTACACCTGAGTAGTACTAAAGTACTGAGTTGCAAAATTTACTAGATCTAGATACTTTAGATAGATCTAGATCTAGTACTAGATTGCTACTGTAGTGACAGTGTACTGAGTTTAATTTTAGATTTCTAGTAGTGTAGTTAAGTAAAAGTTAAGTGTAGTGCAGTAGTAGTGTACTAAGTTAGTAAGACTAAGTAGTAAGTAGTAGTACTAAAAACTAAAGTACTAACTAATATTTAGTTTAGTTTTTAGACTATTCAATTGTAATGCACGCTCATTCAATATCTCTCAAAAATGATGAGTCTAGTAATTAAGAAAGCAAACTTTTGTTACTGGGTAGGACCTAGATCCATAATTTTTCAATTTAAATAAAGACGAAATTTTTTTTTTTTTTCTAAAGTGGGCCAAGGGCCAAGATTCAGGAGTAGGAGGCGAACACAAATTACTAAAATCTAAACTATAGTCTAGTCTGTCCTAAAAATTTAAACATGGTTCTGAAAGGGGAAAAATGTTCCTGCTTTGCATATTATTTGAAAATAAATACAAATACACTATTGTAAAGTTACCGAAAAATTATTTCGAGTAAGATCGATGCCCCTCACAAACGGGAGTACTCCCGTTGTCGCCATTTTGATGCGATGGAGGAAGTAAAAAAATTAATCATAGTTATGGTTCTTGATTTTTTGTTATCCTCCACTAGATCTCGTCTATGTATAAAGTCAGCTCTCTAAATCTGGACTAGATCTAGATCTAGATTCTAGATCTATATTCTTTTAACTCCAAACAAAAAAGAAAAAAAAAGCCACACACTAAAACTAGTCGACATATTTCTAGCCACCTCGAAAAACGAGAAAAACTCAATGACGGTGTTTTAATTACAACAATGAAAGGAAACTTTCAATGTGCAATATTGTGCAAACATGGACTGAGCAGGCAACAAATGCAAATGTAGAGCGACTTTTTAAGGCAGGGACTTCTATGAAGCAAACAATTTAGTCCAATTTAGTAACTGAATGGCATTATTTCCCCACAGAGCTACAGATAGACAATACCTGCATCGTAAACAAGTGTAGAAAAAACATATTGTTTGATAAAGGGAGGGAAGGCGATATAATATGTTAAAAGATTAATACAATACACCACTTACACAACTCAACACAAACATCACGAAGAGCACAGAAATATTGGGTAGTAAATAAATAATAATTAACATGCAGCTCTAACCAATCCCTTTGATAGTCACTAGAGAGTAAGCTAGAATCATAAATGGGTCGTCACACTCGTAGGGCAGGGGTGGGTCCATAATTTTGTGACGATGTGTGATGAGTGGAAGGGGTTTTAGTGACACAAAGAAAGTAGTGAATGGCATTGTGGTGTACTCGTTACATTGTAGTGTCCCGTCTCATTTAATGATTTGTTTTCCCGTGTCACGTTTTAATCTACGGGTAGGTGTATTCGGGCCTCATCGAACGGGTATATGAAATCTCACCGTACGGCATTTGATTACAAGCCCCAGAAAACATGGGCCCTGGGCTGTTGCCTGCTCAGCCTCTTCTTAATCTGTGTGTAGTGATTATTTGTCGATTTTAGCATTTAAATATATATAAATGTCATTCTAGGCCATTTCTCACCACAGCCTGCGAATGACGGTACCATTAAAGCCAGCTTTAACATAGCCCAGCCTAATCGGCTAATGTATCGTCTGTCGAAAAATGACACCCAACTATAAGAGGCCGTTGTGCCCACTTCCTCACCATATTGTCCCCACCGTCACATCACATAAAGCCTTATCGCTTAACCTCAACCTTAACCCTCGACTAACATGTTCACCAACCAGATCAATTGGCTATGTCTATTTGGGTAATTTAAATGCTAACGTACATAAACAGGTTATAAATCGATCACATTAGTTTAACAAACAACGTAAGCACATTGTGTGTGTTCAGCCATACTAACACATGTGTTAGTGTTTTGTGCATCATCAGATCGAACGATATTGATTTGTTATCGACTTATGGAAACCGGATTGGTATAGCCACTTCGTCCTGGAGCAGGATCACTAAAGGGGAGACAATTCATGTCTGACGTGATGA